GAAAGCGTGATTATTTGGATTTTAACAAAGGTTAATGAGAGTAATTTGGGGGTTTTCACAAAAGGGTTTTACATTTCTGCTGTATAGTTAGGCGCAGATAAAAATTAGAAGACAATGAAAACATGTTATTCAGGACTGAAACTACAGACAGAGAGAGAAATTGGCTGGTTTGAGCTTCTAATATGAGATAGTTCTTTGAAAAAAATGCTGAATTTTACTTAAATAACCTTAAAATGAGATATATGAGTTTCATAGAATTGAAAAGGGCCAATAATTTAGGTGCCTCTTTTGTACTAAGAAGAGATTTTTTAAAGAAAACTAAGAATTAAAACAATACATAGCTAAAAGGGAAAAGTCAGTTTAAATCATTGCATAGCGAAGAGATTGTCTAGTTGATAATATAATGCATAAGACAAAAAAGGAGGCTCCATGTGGCATCCTTTTTCATTTATATTCTTTTCAGTAATGAAATAGAATCTGTTACCCTACATCTATTTCATTAGAATTTTTGAAGCACCTGTCATCTATCATCATCGGTTTATACATATTTCAGATTTTTCCAGTGAACAAATGTAATAATGCAGGTCCATATGTCCACATGTCTGGGAGTAGAGATGCCACATGATTGTTGGATTACCTGCCTGGACTTCTCCCATTTATTGTTTGGGGTATGTCACCTTCTGTCAGTCTAATTACTTCTCTAAGAGCGGCTGCTCTCTGCTCACTGTGTGACAATTACACTTTGTGAATATACCCCAGAAGCCTCTGCAGTCAATTGATCTAGCCCAAAAGTGTCACTCTTCTGTGGCAAGCTGGCTTCAGTATACAGGCTCACTGAAGATTTGCAGAGTTCTCTGGGGGTAGTCTATTTAGATATAGAGAGCAAAGTTGGTGGTTTTGGTGGATACTTTGCCTTCTCTTGGCACACAGAAAAAGACTGCTTTAAAATACCATCTGAGGGACACCGCACATACATCCTATCTATAGGACTTCTATCTCTATTCAAAAGTGGCTGTTTAAGTGCCTATGTTACCTGACCAGGACACTTATAAAAAGATCAGAGACACTTTCAAGGCCAACAGCAGAGTTTGAATTTGCTAGAAAAGTCCTAAAGGAATACGCTTCAAATCCATTTAGTAAGCCCTTTAGCTCATATTGACTATTCATTACTGTGAATAGACAGACTTGGCTGAGGCTAACAGTAGTTCCTTTGTCATCATTAAACAGCTGTAGATTTTAATATAATAAAGATAAAACTGTTCCTCTAGTTCTGCATTCACACTATGGTATTCAAGTTTGTGCCACCACTTTCATTTTCCAAGCTTTATAATTCCACCATAATCATTTGTTCTTGGCAGAAATATGTTATGCAAGCACTCAGCTGAGGCTAATATTTTTGAACAGTTTTTCCAGTGTTCTGGTTATGTGATTATGGGCATTTAGAGCTTGATATTAATTTACTCTCAGATTTTGTGTTTCTAGGTCTCAAAAAGCTCTTTTTTAAAATAACACAATTTAGCTTAAATCATTACTTCTATACCAGTCATATTTATTACAAAATAATGTCATCAGACACAAAAGGAATTTGGGGGGAGAAAACCATTATATTTCAATGGCACCAGCTTTGTTTGCTTTCAGTGATTCACACCATACATCAGGTACAAAGTGGCTAGTGATGCTTTTGGTGTCTTAATCCATAAATTAAATATTTTGTTGATCAGCAAACCCTGTCCCTCTTGACTAAAATTTGGTATCAAATGACTAGCACATAGCTTAGTTGGTAGGAGTGCTTGCCTCCCGAGGACAAAGCCATGGGTTTGATCCACAGCACAGTACAAACCAAAAGTGGCAGTGCATACCTGTAATCCTAGTATTTGGAAGTAGAGGCAGAAGAATCGGAAATTCTAGGTCATTTCATTCATATAGCAAGTTCAGTGTCAGCCTGAACTACATGAAACCCTGTCTCAAAAAGAAACTGATATCTAGCAAGTATTGATACTTATTCATATTGTCATCCTCAAAATTTTCCAAAAACCTAACTCATTAAGTTTTCAACTTAATTTGTACTGATGTTGAGCGGACTTGCTATAGTTGAACTTGAGTCAAAGAGATAAAGTCTGTGTTCCTTATTTCTTAAAAACAAAAAGTTTCAAAAATGGAAAAGTCAGCCACTCCTCCTTGTCCCCAAACAGTGACCAAAACTCCAGTTGCCATAGTTGGCAGTACTGGTCTGAGATCTGTCATAAGGTTTCCTAAACTTGTCACGAAACACTTGTGAGACAGAATGAGTTAACATTTGTGGAGGTATTTCGATGAAATATAAGCAGTGTTTGAATTTTTATAAGTCACAGTATCTACCCACCCAAAAGCTTTGGGAGAATATTTAGCACACATGTATGTGCCAGATGGGTTGTAATGACAGTTGATAGGCCTCTTTTAACCCTTGCGTTCTGTTGTCAGAAATCTGCATATCAAAACAACGATACTTTTTACAATAAGATTTATTGACTAAAACACACACTGAAAAAAATCTACTGTCTATTAAGATTAAATTAACATAATATGAGGCTTTGAGTTAAAGGTTTTCATAAGAATATCTTAATGTGTCTGATACAAATATAAATAGGAACTTTGGAAATTACTAGATATTTTCTTGATCTTACCTACTTTTCTCTAGGATAAGTGTATTCATTTTTTAAATCATGTACTCGAGCGGTTGTGTATGTTCTATTTGTGCCTCTAATGTTAAATATTTGTTAGTGTGGCTATGTGAGGGTGAGCATGTGAGTGTTGGTGCATGTATGTGCATGAGATGTAAAGGCCACAGGTTGATATCATGTATCATTTCTAGATCATACCCCATCTTTAATTTTTGGACAGAGACTGTCACTGAAGCTGAAGCTCACTTATTCAGATAGACTAGCTGCCCAATTAACTCCATGGATCTGCCTTCTCTACTCTGCCCTAGGTTGAGGAGTTACGGGCCCACACCACCAAGCCCAGCTTTACACATTAGTCTGGTTAGAACTATTTCTTCATGCTTATGTGGCAATGAGATATTTCTCCATACCTGTAAGTGAATTCTTAACAGATAGATAGATAGACAGATAGACAGATAGATAGGCAGGCAGGCAGGCAGGCAGGCATGCACGAACTCACACACACACACACACACACACACACACACACACACACAGACTGTAATGCAAAACACTCTCTTTCCTTAGAAGCTCAAGAATCTATAGAGGCCAAAGCAAAAACACATTGAAAATACCACAAGTAGAATGTTTGTGTGATTGAGATAATACTAACAGAAGAATTTAAAATGTAAGAAATTAGTAAGTGGAATTATCATCCTAGTGTTTTGTGATATCCTTTCTAGTGTTATTGTGGAAATTCTCAATAAGTACTTGTTCTAGACCAAAATCTATGGTTGTAGACTCATGAGAGGGGGACAGGTGGTCCCACCAATTAAAAATTCCCCAAGATTACAAATGTATATTTTACCATCTTGTGTCAAAATACTCATTTTAATATTCAAACATCTTACCACATAATAAACTGTAACCATATGTTTGTTATATTATACCACTCTAACATTAATAAATATTTACAAAGCTGCATTATATCCTAGATGTATGAGAAATGGTAGCTCTCAGTTTGATTTTAAGTACAAGCCTTCAATGCCTCAGAAAGTAATTTTAAGTAACATTATGTTTGTTGCACACTGATAAGAATCAATGGATTCGAATTTTTGGGCTGGACATTCCATTGGAAAATGACACTTTCTTTATTTTCCCTTGACTGGGCATTTCAGCTTTTGCTTTATTTGTTTCTGAGTTTTGTGTTTAACACGGATCAGCACTGCAGAACTTCCCATTAGTGACAAACAGATAGCTGTGCATCTCTTTGTGCCAACCCTGCTAATAACCAAAAAAAAGAAGAAATAGTGTGTGAGACTCTTAATTGTTAACATATCAAGTTGTATGATTAATCAAAAGTTTTGTGATCTTCAAAGCCACAACATTGTTTCTGTCCACTGGATTGTACGTAGTTTTGTGGAAAACCGTGTTTTTTAAAAAGAATAAAATTCAAGACTCCTGACGCATAGTTTTCCAAATGGTTACGCTGTTTTCTTAGTATTTATTCCTTAGTGACAGCTGAAACTAGAGCAGACTACACCAGAAGACAGGAGGCTGGCGCTAAGCCACTGACTTCACTCTCATGTGTCAGAAGAGTCCCAGGCTCATCCCTATTCAGCTGAAACCAGGCATTTTTGCTGTTTGATAACTACTGACTTGGTTGCCTATATACAGTGCTGTCTTCCTTACTCAGCTCGGGATAATGAAGCCCTAAGCTCAGACATCCCACTGTTGTTTCTAGCTCCTGTTTGGGAAGATAATTTCTCAGTATTGGAAATTTCAATAAAGAGTCTCACACTTACACAGAACTCTAACAAGCAAAATAATTTTTCCAAATGAGCTTCTTTCTTGTGCTTCATGATTAGCTGGCTTCTCTTATGCCCTTTTGCTGTCAAGTGCCAGGGGTGGAATGGAACAATAATGCCAACCACTATACTAAATCCAGAGATAATGTTTGCAACATTTGTGCTTTGTTCATCTCAAGTTCTGAATTCATTGTGCAACATCCTGGCTGCTTATATTTCTTTGGGAAAAGAGAATTGTTTTGCATTGCACTTCGCACATTGTGTTTGGTTGTAATTGTTTTTCATTATATATTTCTGTCTGACTTCCATATCAAGACATTTCACCTTCTTTGTTACTTGACTGAATTTAACTACAAACATGATAATTCCTTGTTGTTAAACTATTAATGAAAATTGTTGAAATGGCTCAGCCTCTCCTTGTGATGTCTTTTCAAAAAATGTAGTATAACATATGTAATAACTGAAATGCTGGACATCTTGACTTTCTATAACATCCCTAAATGTCTCTTACAGCCTTTGTCTAGGTTTAAAATTTCCACATTATGTATTTCAGACATTGAGAAAGAAGGGCCTTAATGGCTGTGACAGCCCAGATCCCGATGCGGACGATTCAGTAGGTCACAGCCCTGAGTCTGAGGACAAGTACAGAAAAATTAACGAAGATATTGATCTAATGATCAGCAGGCAAAGATTGTGTGTAAGTACTCAAAACACCCTTCATTTTTTTTACTCTTGATATTTCTCTGAACCTGGCAGGCATTGAACAAGAAAGAAAACAAAGGCTGTGAAAGCCCTGATCCTGACTCCTCTTATGCACTCACCCCACGCACTGAAGAAAAATACAAAAAAATTAATGAAGAATTTGATAATATGATCAAGAGTCATAAAATTCCTGTAAGTACCAAAGGTAGATGGCTGATCTGCTGGTAATCGCTACAGTAACGTACCTTAACCCTTGGTGATGGCTTGCTCTAAGAAGCGCTGCAAAGTCAAATAGATAAAATAGCCATCTCATCCCACAGTCAGTGCATTTAGAAAGCAACCCCTGTGGGATACTGAAATTATATAATCTCAAAGAGTTGCCATGGAGAAGTTCATTCTGAGGTAGACGAGTTCACAGGAGAAAGAGAAAACTCTATGTGACATGCCCTGAAATTACACAGTCTTTGAAACATGAATCACAGTACAGTCAAACAACACGAGAATTGCTTTCTACACAAGTTTGGTATGCAGAGACCAGATACATGAGTGGAACAGTCTTTCCATCATGTACACTGACAGTCATGACCTAAGTAAAGCCTGGTTTCTGAATGACATCGGCCCCTCCCAGTACACATGAAATTCAGCAACAACACTGAAGGGCTAAAGCTAATGTGCCGCAGGAGACAGGCTGCATGAAACCTAACGGTAAGACTTCAATGTCTGTGTGATTTTTAAAGCTTTTATCCGAATATTATCTGCTTTGCATACACCAACATTTTCCATGCTTTAACTTTTGCCTAAATTATGTCTTAACTGATTCAGAAATGTTCTAACAATCAATGCCTTGCCAGATAGTTAAGAAAAATAACTGTGCATGTATTCTTTTGTTTGTTCAAATGTATAGGATAAAATGGTTATCTTACTGTTGGATTCAGTCATCAATCCAACAATGTTAATTTTGTAGCATAAAAGGATTACATTCAAGGCTCACATGCTGAGAATAATGTTAGTACCTGAATCCTAATTTGTATACAGGTTTCTCAGTACATAATTAAATTTTTCAGAAAAGTGCCTTTCTGGTAAGTTAGAAAAGCAGCTCAAACGTGAGTATTAAAAACAGATCTTCAGTGAAAATGGGCTTTGTTGATTATACATGTAGATATTTGAGGTGAAAAGCTGTAAACCATACTGCACTCACAAAGCAAATTGATGCATTTCCACAGTCAGCACACACTCAGCCTCTACTGGCTGAAATGAACCCTTTAAAATTTATTTGCAAAATTGTACTTATTAGAAACTCTGTCTTCATGACTGCTTATTTTTTCTTTTGCTAAAGGAAATGTCAGCAGGACAACTTTTTTTAAGCTTCATGTTTTAAATCCTTTTTTGAGATTATAATATAGTTACATCATTTCTCCCTTCCCTTTCCTTCCTCAAAACCCTCCCATATACCCTCCTAGTCTTAAAGGTCTTGTTCCCTTCCACACATGTTCACAGTGTTTTACCCATCGAAGAAATCCATATATGCTTGCTAACTGTATGAAATATTCTTAAAGGATAAAATGTCTATCCAAATTTATTTTACCCAGAAAAGAGAAATAAACAGTGCCTTTGGGTAAACAGCTTGATCTTAGAGCCTGAGTTTTTCTTGCTATATATAGAATGGACTGTTTGAAAGCTGTGTGCACAAAGGCTTAAATGTAGGACTGTAAGGCAATGCCTTCAGTACCTGCGATCAAATGAATCCTCTGCAAAGATGGGAAAAAGGCAAATACCCACCATATTGCTGATAATTTTGAGCAAAGGTGAACAGTGGAGCCTATATATGGAGAAAAAAATGAACCCCCAAAGTTTCAGAGGGTGTTTATGGATCAATTTCCCCACATTTTGAAGGGAAAGAAGATGGAGCCCCTGTTGGGGGCCCTACCCTGCCTGGGGAGTGGTGGGTGGAGGGGGGGGGGGGGGGGGGGGGGGGGGGGGGGGGGGGGGGGGGGGGGGGGTGGGGGGGGGGGGGGGGGGGTGGGGAGAATAATAATAATAATAATAATAATAATAATAAAAAAAAGAGGAAAATAAAAAGATGTGATACTCACCTAGATTCCCTGAGATATTTCTCCTTGGCATGTAAAAAGTCCAAAATCAAGATACTTGGTTTGTTAAGAGATACAAGGATATGTTGCAGGAGGTGAAAACCACATGAGAGTCTATGGGCAAAGCACCGAAAAGGAGCCACATGGCCTCTAGCTGTGCCACAGAGTCTTCATGTCTTACTGAATGTCGCAGCATCCATAGTAAAAAGCTCAGTTTTTGCACATTGCTTTTGGTTGCTAGAAGTCCGTTTTGTTGAACATTTCTACAGCTGCTAAAACATTTACAAAAAGGCAAGGACACTCTGCCCTTTGTGTGTACAAAGTGTCTTGAACCCTTTAAAAACATTACAAGACTGTTTTTCTATTTCAAAGAACCAGTGTGAAGCATTTCCCTTTTAAAATAGAAAATTTAATACTGAAGTCACCTGTTGGAATAATATAATTTATACCCATATTCCTCAATTATGTGAAATAATCCATGGCTGATTTGGAATCTTGTCGACCAGCATTTCCTCCTGCTGGGTTTGCTACAGTTCGTGCTGGGAATCATGGCAAGCAAAAACAGCTCCATTAGAGGAACCAGGATTAGCCAAAGGGTTGAATGGCTGAGAGGTCGAAGCAAAATTGCTTTCGGAGAAATGAGAAGAGAGAAATGGGGGAAGGTCCATATTTTCCTCAGAATTATGGGCTTTGAAGAGAAAGACATGATGCTGTACCTAGAATCAGCAATAGAATTAATGTGAAAAGCAGTTGAAATGATTTATATGAAGAGTAAGATGCTTGAAGCAGACACCCACAGCTAAACACTGAACTGAACTCCTGGAATCCAGTTGCAGAGAGGAAGGATTGATGAGCAAAGGTGTCAAGACCAGGCTGGAGAAACCCACAGAAACAGCTGACCTGAACAAGAGGGAGTTCGTGGTCCCAGACTGATAGCTGGGAAACCAGCATAGGACTGATCCAGACCCCATGAATGTCGGTGAGGAGGCCTCAGAAATCTATTGGGCCTCTTGTAGTAGATCAGTACTTATCCCTAGCATAGGAATGGACTTTTGGAGCCCATTTCATATAGAGGGATACTCTCTGAGCCTAGACACACTGGATGGGTCTAGGCCCTATCCTAAAGGATATGATGGACTCTGAAGAACCCCCTGGGGATCAGAAAGGGTATGGGATAGGTAAGGTGTTAGTGGGGGGCAGGGGAGGAGGGGAGGGAGAGGGAACTGGGATTGACATGTAAAACAATCTTGTTTCTAATTTAAATAAAAAAAGGGAAAAAAAAAGAAAAAAGGAAAAGATTGAGACCATAGGTCTCGTGGGGACAAAATGGTAAAGCTCAAGAAAGAGGAGAAGGATAGAAACTAACAGACAAGATGAATTCATAGCAAGGTGGAGAAGCACCCAGGGTATTTATGGTACGGAGTGACTAGAGTGAAGTTAAGTCAGGGTGGCTATGTAATCACCCGTACTTAATTGTGTAGATATTGAATACAGGGAAAGTGAGGGCAGGTGCTCAGACAGTGATGAAGGTCTGTACACTGAGGATATACAGGGAATGAGCAGGTGTATGCTATAACTACTAGGAAGCCATGAATAAATTAGGATATTAGCAGTTGGTAGTCCCTGGTCATTAGACTTTCTCTACTAGGAGCTTGGTAATGATGGTCCGATCAGTGTCAAAACAACGACAAAACAGAGGATACAGTAAGTTGTTCACATGAACAAAGAAGGCCCATTACCTAAAATAAATATTTTATCAAAAATGTATTATTTGATTTTTATCGGACTTTTCTGGGTGGAGTGTTTGAGGAGAGTAAGAGTTCAGATTCTCTTCTGACTAGGAAATCATACCTCAAGGACCATGGCCACTGCTCAGAGACAGCAGCCTCAAGCTTCTCAGCCATCATGTCTGCATCACTTAAGCAAGGACCACTTGCATGCTGTCACAGAAACGGGCTTGGTTATATGCCTTGGTTATATATCCAATTCTTCACGTTCCTAAAAGCAACAGTTCAGTTCCCTTTTCTTTGAGTCATAAGTTAGATAGCCAGATCTACTCACAACACTCTGATCACTCCAAATTCTACTTTCCAGAACTGAATCTTCTAAACATTTAGAGACTGCCATGATATAATCACTCTTAGGGGACTTCTGGTTTTGATCCCAAAAGTTTTAATATAATCCTTTTTGATGCTTCCCAATTTTGAACAGTCAAGAAGGAGAAGAATAAAGCAAATTTCTTCAAAACATACGGGTTACTCTACCCTCTCCATTACTCCCCAATGGAGTATTCAGAAATGTTCAGTGTCTTTATCTATGCAACCATCTTTTCTCATGGATAAGCAAATCAGGGTCTAGGGTATTAAATGGCTTTCTGGTTATCTGACAACTTATTATACAACTGGAGCTGCAGTTGAGATTTCTTGGGGAAAGGCTAATCTTGATTTGCTAAAATATCATATCAATGTGGTCATTTTAAGCTGGTAATCTACTTTCAAATTACTGTAGATAGTTCCTGACATGGCTAGAAGCAGTGAAAGTACACCAATGATGTTGGTGTATAATGTGACTTCGAAACTGTTTAAGTATGCTCTGATAATGGAATATATCTGCCTGCCATTTGGCCAATTACAAATGAGTTTTATAGTGATCCTGTTCAAGTTGTTATGGTCCAATGTGCTAGAAACTCAATAATTCTTCAGTGTAATGCTTACAAGGAAAAAAAAAGTTTAGTGATTTTCACTGGACTAGTTGGTAGGATACCTCAGAATTCATTGCATAATTATTAATTACCTCCTATATTGTGAATGTGCCTATAATCTCTTAGTGGAAGAGAGATGGACTTGGTCCTCTAGGGAGGGAAAGTCAATATTCTATTCAATATTAGGAGGGACTGAGCTTTGTAGTGATTCTTAGGGACCCATCGAAAGTGGAATATTTCTAAATAGGAACAATGAGTACAAATTAAAACATTTAGAATCAAAAATAGTTTTAAAGTATGAACTTTTGAGTAAATATAGAAGGAGGGGATCTTTACAATTTGTTTTTCCCAAGGCCTCAGTGGTATTAGCTTGTTTATCATGTGGCCCATGGATGGTAGTTTGCTAATGCCCAATATGTGTAAATAGTAGGATCTCTGACTACAAGATTTTATTTGCTCCAAAATACTGTCAATCTACGATAAAAACCAAATTCAGTCACTAATTCAATGATATTGGGCCATTTTCTCAATTTTACTATTTTGAAAAAGAAAAAGATGCACAACAAAGAGATACTGATGGGATTAAATTACACCAAGTATATAAATTACACACCCTAGTGCCTATCAATAGAAAACATGTAGGAACTGGTAATCTTACCCTTTTAGATTAATACAATATATATGCCAAAAAGTCTCCTTTACAGAGAAATATTCAAAATGTAATGCAAAGAACACATTTTGAATTGTTTATAGTGACATACCTTGAGTACTTTGATGAACTGGACCATTTCTAACCAACATTAAAACTCTATTTAATTGTAAGAAACGAGAAAGAGATCCACAGATGGGCATAAGGAGCAAGCAAGCTGCCAGATGAAATAGAATAGTCAAGGTGGATGTCCTGGAGATGGCAGGGTTTGGAGGAGAGATTTGGATGTGATACTAGGGTTAATCATGGTACATGGTCAGGAATGAAAAAACGGGGCAAGGATGGCCTGCAGGCATGAGACAGTGGAGGTTGGTAACTGCCAAAATTTGGAGGATATCTAACCCATTCAAGGAAGTGGAACTTTTACTTTAAGTAAAATGGGCACAGTGGTGGGGACAAGCAGAGGGATGCTGCTATCTAGTGTGTGCTCCAAAGGGTCAGAACCCTGATTGTTGTATGGTGAAAATTAAAAGCAGGAAGATGACGTTCAGAGTGGGTCGAACCATCAGGAAGCAACTGCAAGAATCACCAGGAGGGTGCTGGGAACAAGGGTGTTCTCATGTCCACCATGAATTCCAAACTGACCCCACCCCTAATCTGTAGAGCTAATATCATGATCTGAGGTCATAGCCAGAAACAAGTGCCAAACTCAAGAGTATGGCTGAAGAGAGATTGTTAAAAGGACTGCACACTTAGAGTTAAGGGGAACATGAGAGAGTAGTAAAATATGTTAGGACTTGGAGTCTAGAAGCTGCTGTTACATGCTGGTCTAATGATGCAAGCAAAGCAAGAAATCACTAGAGCAGGACAAAGTAAGAGAGCCACTGAAAGATGTGCCATTCTATGGATAAATGCAGCCCCTACAATACAGCTGTGATCTAGCAAGAAGGATGCTGGTGATGATGGTGGTGGTGGTGCTGCTGCCTGCACCAGTGGCCAGAAAGCCTGATTGATATTCTGGAGGCCAGGGCAGAGAGAAGAAATTGGATAGTCGAGGCTGCTTAGCACTAATATTGTACTGGTTTTGCAGGTGACTTCTATTCTCTTTTGGCATGTCAGGAAAGGGATATATTTACCACTCTACATTCACCTTACAGAATGCATTGACATTTTTCTTGTTTAACAGGGCTTTGGACATTTGGGCATATATCCATGCTCTGATATATTACCAAGCATTTATATTCCACTGTCATCGAGTTTATCCAAAACTCATTTTCTGTTAGCTTGTGTACAAGCCATAAATGACCTAAAAGACAGATGTACTACCATGTCACAAGTATTTTTATTTCCCTTAAAAACAGTGAAAAATCAGTCATTTGAAAGTAAGTTGTAAAACATTTGCTTTAATCAGGAATAGTATGTCTATAGCATGGAAGAAAATAAAAACATGCAATAAAGACTACAAGAGAATACATTATAGGTATCAACAACATAACCATAGAATTACTACAAACACAATGTATGAGGCAGGCCAGCCAATCAATCAGTCACAGATAGTTGATGTTAACTCTAAAGAAAAAAGTAGTAAAACTCAAAGCAGTAACAGCAAACTGACTGAGCCAGAATAAAATGTCCAAGTAAACTTGGACAACTTCTTATTGAAAACCTCAGAGGGCTTATATGTACCTTTTGTGTGTATACACACATTTGCAATATTTCATTATTAATGTTGTGTGCCTTGATACCATGAGTCCTCTGGCATGTATTTCAATAGTATTTTCATTTGTAATGCTGACAAAAGGAGAAAGACAGGAGTGTTTACAACTATGATGAATTCTTGCAAGCAGAAACAGAAACATAATTTTGCTTAAATTGCCAAAATAATAGCAAAAAATCAATAATTGGAACCTGGATCACTCTAATTAGATATCCGCACAGCTTCAGCTCACTAAACATTTGCCAACTCTCTCATTTGAGTTATAGATTTTGCCATGTGGCAGGGTAGTACCTATACAGCAAAATGTGAGGCTTTGTGTATTTTCTGAGCTATCACTTTAAAATATGAGCTAGTGAATGATACATACTCTGCTGAAACCTGTACCGTAAAATGCCTATTATCTTCTGAGTTGCTATTAAGAGACAGACTTTTTAAAAATAATAATTAAACTATATGTGCTATTCACAGGCCTGAAGATGATTTTATATCATTAAACTTCTGCATAAATATGCCTCAATAAGCAATTAAACCAAAGGATCTGGTTTGCATTTTAATCCCCCCTTTTCTCTGTGAAGTCATCACAGTCATGTACCTTTGATCTTATAGTCATTTCTGGCACCAGATTCAGATATCACAAATGAATAATTATTACTTCATAGAATGGAATTCAAAGACAATGGAGTCTAATGAAATGGGGCTTTGTTTCACACAGAAGTGAAACCTTTTCTAACAGTTGCAAAGAAAGAGTTCTAAGCACAGTGAAGAAATCAATTTATGATTGCACATCTTGAGACCCCTTCTTGACAGTAATCTACACACTGCACGGTTTGAAATTTGAATTTTTTTCTTGGAGAACTTAATGCTGTCTGTACTTGAATGCTCTGTTAGCATCCTTCTGTCTTTCTTACATGGCTTTTCCCTTGTTTCTGCTCCACAGGCTGTTCCACCTCCCAACTTTGAGATGCCAGTTTCCATCCCAGTGTCCAGCCATAACAGTTTGGTATACAGCAACCCTGTCAGCTCACTGGGAAACCCCAACCTTCTGCCACTGGCCCACCCTTCTCTGCAGAGGAATAGTATGTCTCCTGGTGTAACACATAGACCTCCAAGTGCGGGTAACACAGGTATGTCCTTCAAAGGCTATAATGTTAACAAGTCGTTGGGAGGAACCTCTTCTAGAGAAAGCTTCCTTACCTAATAAGTGCACTTTGGCTTCCCATTTATGACCTTTCATCGCTTAACATCCACACCTTACTAGATACTCTCCGTGACTCAGTTGAAGTTCTCCAGGGTCTCTTTCAAAATATTTCCTAGCCCATACTTTGTCTTTTCTGACTGCTACCTACCTCCTTAAGTTGCTATATTTTAACCACATACTTTCTCAAGCAGTGTGTCAGGTATCTAGTCTACACACTTTTGTTCCTTGTCTCATCTACATAAATTATCATTTGCTCTCTTCTTCCTACGGAAAGGTTGCCTCCTATGTAAAACCACTCTCTGTGTTCTCTTGTAGCATCTATCCCTATATGTAATTGTTTGGATCTTTTTTTTTTCCTGAGGCAAGTTATCCCAGAATGAATATAAGGTAGAAAAGAACTGTGTGGTACAGTAGCGTGACTTAGAAGGAGTATGAAATAAGAACACAGCTGAGTCAGAAATGCAGTTAAGAGCATGCCACTAGAGATTTACCTCTGCATTATAAAAGATCCTTGCTACCGTTCAATTCACAATGACCTAGAGACATGAAATTATTGCTGGGGGTGGAGGGGGACCCAGCCATTCTTAGTATGAGAATCCAGCTAAATATGTTGTGATGTAGTGTATTGAATATGTGACTTTTTCTCCACTGGACTTGAAGGATCTTGAAAGGAAGAATGCCCATTTGATTTACCAAGCTCACAGTGGGAGCTGATTCAGTGAGCACTGAATATAACTAAGCCATTCCTTCATATTTCCAGAAGCAGAATCAAAAATGATTGTATTTCTAAATCTCATGCAGCAGTCCATTGTGTATTTACATTCTGGTTTTAAGGAAGCACTCCACAGGGCACTTTCAATAGCTAAGACACATTTAACTGTACTAAGAGCAGCTTATCTATGGAAGAGCTTTTTTCTCTAGAAGATTTATAAATCTCGAACCAGGGAAGTGTATACAAAAGGCTTCACTGTGCCATTCTGTCTTTTAAAATATAATTGAAATTTTATATAAATTTTAGTAGCCATATAAATTCCTTTCTGATTATATTTAGGTGTATTTGAATGTCTTATTTGATAACTCATGTTCATTTATTGTTTTAAATATGATACTTTGTCTTCAAAACTGTATTTGGTGGGAAATAGCAACAAATTTTTAAAATATATTAATCTATTAATCATCTTTTTTATTCAAAAATCTGGAAACAAGTAATAACAATAAACTATTACTTAAAAACAACTAAAAAAATCCCAATTAGATGATATTGCCACTAGTTTTCTAGACCTTGTTCTTTAAAATTTTTAAATACGAATTATATTCAGTCTTCTTGAAAGTTCACAACTCTCATTAAGAAGAACAGACATCATTAGACTTATTTACTTATTTATTTGTTTGTTGATTTTGATGGGGTTATGTAAGTGCCACTGCCCATGTGTGGCAATAGGAGGACAATGTCCAGGAATTAGTTCTGTTCCATATGTGGACCCAAGAGATGGAATTCAGGCCATCATTCTTGGTGGTAACTGCTATAACCTGCTGAACCATCTTGCCAGTCCAAGATTTTATATTGTTTTTTAAAGTAACAAGAAATTAGCATAGTTCTAAACCTGTGGCAGTGAAAGCTTGTTTGTCATGTCATTTAGTAAAATTCAAGATGAAACATTAGTCAACTCATGAGAAAATAAAATTCCTAATCAATTAATATTGCACAAAAATGATGCTATAAAGTATGTTTAGAAAGAAACAAGACACCAGATGTGTGGCTATCAAGGCATATGGTAGAAATGAAATGGGGTTTTCCTGTTATTTGCTGTGAAGTACCTCTTTAGGGGAAAACTAGACTTTAAAATAATAATGCATAGACAACTCACAGACTGTAGTTTTTTAATGTGATGGTTCCTAGAAAAAAATTCTGCAAAATGTCAGTGAGTGAATGCATTTTTAACATTTGTGCACAGCATGTCACAATAAAACAAATGTCAGCTCTCCAACTTAGGTAGAACTTTTTAAGACTGTCTCTCAGGAGAGGACAAATGGTGAGTGCTGATGGCACTGTGCTGTTCCTTTGACCCTTAGCCTTTCTCTCCTTTTGATTTTCCTCTTTGCTCCATAGGTGGTCTGATGGGTGGAGACCTCACATCCGGTGCAGGCACCAGCGCAGGTAAGCACAGACCTCAGTGCTGCAGTGTGTGGCACTGGCCACAGTCTGTGGGTGATTTCCAAGAAACTCTAAAGCTCCTTCTGAAGGAGGAGTGGTTAGACAGTAACTTAAAAAGGAACTATGTATTAGCTGGAGTCTTCCTTGATACAGCTTTAGCCAAGGCAAAGCAGATATCAACCTGAACTGTCACGTCCAGTTTGTTAGTGAATACAATGTTCTTGTGTCCCTTCTATAGTAAGAGATACCTCAGAAGAAAATAACTTCCACTGTTCTGCAGAGAATTGTAGATTCTTATCAGATCACCTCAATCCCTAATACTACTCTGTAGGCAGGAGTATTTTAGAGAAGCCATACTTCTCACACTCTCTGTTAATCAGTTCCTGAATGAATCGATCATGTCCACCCAAAGTACTGATATCTGGTATAATTCTAAAGAAGAGTACATAAGAAACAGCTGGAATAAGATTGCAGTCATTCAACAATACTGCTAATAAAACCATATTCCCAAATTATAGTATTGGAATTATTGAGATGTTGGTTTCCTTTTCAATACAGATACATAATATAGCACAGTACTTTTAAGTGCCAACTCTAGTTTACTATTAGCATAAGAAGTAACCATAGTAATTTCTACAGCTGGAACATGCTATAAATTTAAAATAGGAGGCAGGCATGAATGACACAAGGTTATGTTTGAAGTGTCAAAAAAATCAAGTTTTTTGAAATATGCATGGACAGCCTAATTAAAACATTTTGCTAGGGTCAAATATAATAGCCTGCTAATTATAAGAAAGAAGGTAAGGAAAATTGGCATATAAAAACATTTTTATACATACATCTATTGTAGGTAGTGTCTCTTTTCGGTGTTGATTTTTTATTACTTCAGTAAGTGGTACAGAAATACTAGAAGTATACAGAGAGTAGAAATAACTGTAGCCCCCTGTCTTATAAATTTTTAAAGATTAGGTAGGCCCAAACTAGTAAGTAGATTCAATAGTAATTTTCTAGACACTGAATTTGTCATGTTTGATTTTTTTTCACTGCAGAAAATACTTTGCAATTAGTAACCTCAAATTTCAAGAACCAGAAAAAGTCCAGATAGGTGTTTCCTAGATTGAAGTCCTGGCCATACACTGGTTAGGAGAGGGGGTGGGAGCTGGTTGAGTAGTCACGAGGACCAAGTCATAACCTAAGAAAAGTAGTCTAGATGTCATGACTTTAACATTTCACTAAGCCAGCTTGATTACTATTAAAGGAACAGCCAGTAGTGGGAGTAAACACTAAGAAAATGCTTTTTTGTTTTTGTTTTGTAAATTGGGTGGGGGGGGGCTCTTGGTTACTAAACTTTGATGCAAATGGCCTCTTGTTACTGTTTAATAGCAATGAAGCTTTAGAATTGACGTTGAAAATAAGTGTTTGATTGTTCAGTTCTGCTGTTATTGTTAACTGCCTGACAGTCTGCTAAATTTAATACTCCTCCAAGAATAAGGAAGATATTCAGTCTTCTAAATATAAGATTGCCATATACGGAGTGCAGAACCATTAAAAAAAATCTCAGGAGTTAAACTAAATCATCCTACTACCTCAGAACGTATGCCATAGATGCATGACACCTTATAACTAGAAATAGAAGGGATCAGGCTGGGGATATGGCTCAGAGGGTAAGTTTGCCATTTGTGCCTGGCACTCTGAACATTGAGGCATCTGTAATCATGCTGTGCTCCTGTGGAGGATGGGAGACAGACACAGGACAGTATCCTAAAGCTCCTGGGCCAGCTAGTCCAACATATACAGCATCGATAAACAGGAAACCCTGGTTCAAATGTGTAGAAGGCAAGGACCAGTTCTCAAGCTTGTTTCCCCACATTGCCTGTGGCACTGACCCATGCCAAGCCTACACCAAAACATGCACACGCACATTACATACACACAGAGATGGAAATAGAAGCAACAAAGGAAGAACTGTGGCTTCACCTTATTACTAAATATAGTTTTCTGGTATGCCATAGTCACAATACATAATTTTCATAGTTTCTACATCAATGTATAAAAATTACTTAACCATTTTATAAGTAGAGGAAGCAGCCCTTTCTGTTCCTGGTTCCAAGGAACACCTGTTGCAGATGCCATTTAGTCTTGAGCACAGCCATGTCCTGCTTGCAAGCACACTCATCTTCGCCTCCTCTTTCATGCCAGCCAGTATCATATGTCAAGGCTGAATATATCTGTGCTGATGTCAGAGAATCACATAGCACCAAAGAGAAACAAGGCCAGCCAGAAAGTCTCTGCATTCTCAGTGAAGAAAACTAAAGCAAAATTACCAAAAGATATCTTCAAAATTTTTAACATTGTCATTTAAACTCAAGGTCTCAGAGTTAGAACCTTTAAGGCCAAATGACAAGACTGCAACCAGATTAAATCCTTTAAGCCTTTGTTGTTCTGGTTGTTTTTCAAAATCAAATCATCTTAACTAGTTACACACACACACACACACACACACACACACACACACACACACTCAAAGGTATAGTTTCACTAGGGGAGGCAGTAACTTTCTGGGACTTATCGTGTGCCTTAAAAATACAATCAAATAAGCATTCTCTTTCTCTTTCTCATCTCAGCTTGGTTACATGTAGTAACTTTCCCACCTTTAACTGAGCTGTTATGTGGTCACCCTGTGAGCCACCTAGTCCCAAGGTACTTCCTAGGTTAACCCCTCTACCTCCATAACTGACTCTTTTTCCTAGGTAAACCCCTCTCCCTCCATAGTTAGCCTAGTGTCCTGATTCAGACTCACAGTAATTCCCCCAGACTCTTTCCAGAGTTTCCTTACACATCTTTCTGTTCCATGTCACATTCCCCGATAGTTTCCCTGTGGCTGATCAGTCTTCCTCAAAGCCTCACACTAATGACATGCCATCATTTACATGCATAAAACTCAGCAATGTGCCCCTTCTCCTTCACAATTACCCATGATCCTCTTACCTGTGGCCCACCTACTTTCCAGGCTTGCATTTTCTGTCATTGCCCTCAAAAGCATCTTGTACTCCAAATTTACTAATAACAAACACTTGAATGGTTGGTATATGCATTTTTTACAAAACAAACATTTACCTCAATCAACCTCATAGCTGTCTTTTAAAGTAGATGCTCCCATTATGCCATCTCTACATATGGGTAAACAAAGGCATGGCGAAGCTACTTAATGGCCTAAAGTAGAACCCAGGCAGTCTGTCCCCAGAGTCTGTACTTCGGACCCCCTCACTATGCTGCCACTTCCAGGACAGTGCCAAGCCCTCCTCCCATGCCACCTGTATATTCCTAACTCTTCTTTCTCTCCCCTGATCTGTGCTCCTGAGCACTGTCTATCATCTTTCAGAACCAAGTTCATCCATTCATTCCTGCACCTCTGCTCTGTGCTCCCAGGGCAGCCTGCACTGACATTAAACATTTCTTCCTTTGCACTGTGATTACAGACTCTGGGCATATCTCTCCTGGACACTGCCATTTGGGACGGAGCAGTCTTAGTTTGTGTCTCAGCTCAATACATAAAAGTAACACACAGCAGATGTTCAGTAAAGGTTTGTTCACTGAAGAAAAATATTTATCCCTGAGATATAAAGCTTTTAATAGTATTAATAAAGCTTCAATGATAATAACCTTTATTATTTAATAAATAGTAATAATAAAGCTTTAGGAAAGTAATAAGTGAGAATATATCTTTAAAAATCTGTAATTTTAAATACAAAACCCCCTGATCTGTACTTCACAAAGATAATATATTCAATACAGACTGTATAAAAAGTGAATGTCTAGTTGATGAAATGGCTGAGCACTGTTGGTTGATAAAGCAAGGTTTTACTAAATTCTTTAATACAGTTTAAAAAAAACTAAATATCTGGGCAGTGGTGGCACATGATCTTTATCCCAGCACTCAGGAGGCAGAGGCAGGTGGATCTCTGTGAGTTCGACACCGGCCTGGTCTACAAAGCTACACAGAGAAACCCTGTCTCGAAAAATTAAAAAAAATTAAAAATAAAAAAACAGAAAAACCTAAATAGCTGATATAGAGAAGAAAATGAGGATTGGTATCTATCTCATACAATCACAAATCACTGCTTAAAACAATGAACCCCTTATCATCACTTAGATTGAAATAATTACCCATGAAGAAGGCAAGTTGTATGGAAGAAGTAATGAAATGGGCTTATGCTCTTGATATAAGGGATATATACAGCAAGTCATTATCATACATTAGTAACGATGACGCTTCTAGCTTCCAGTCGACAGTTACTCATCCACGACTTACTGCTTTCCTGATAACAACCAAAATGAGATGTCACTGCTTTTAAAATTACATTTTGTCATGTCTCTGTACATTAAAGCTTTTAACATGTTAATCTAAGTGGTTATTGATGATTGTAAGATCAAGTTCAATTGAATTCTTGTTGTAATCATTACATTTAATGGAAATAACCACTTGCACAGCTATACCTTGTGCTGGATCAGGCACCATCAAAAGAATAACTTCTGGGTTTTTAGTCAATATTCTTACCTTTTACAGAGCAGAAGGCACACAGATTTACTGTTTCATGGTTAAGGTTTAATCACAGTAAGGGGAAGAACTTTAGAAATCATTTTGAAAAATTAAGAAGATATGACAATCTACATAGCTATTTGACAATAAGACAAAGAAAATTTATGCATATTGGCTAATAATTTTAATTGGCATTCATTGTAAATTACATATCATTTTATATAAAAAGGAACTAACAGCTGTTTCTTTATTTTGATTGTCAATTGTTTACTATTTTATGCATTTGGTTGTCAAGCATTGCCACTTCTGGAATGCTTAATTTACATCCGCTAAATAGGTGGAGACATGTGGTTTGCAATGTACTGCCATGGATACACACCACAACAGGCAAATACCAGGGCCTGCTTTGGAGACTCTGCAGAGGCTGAGCTAGACCTGCTCTGCTGTCTCAGCACTTTAAGCT